TGCCCTTTTGCTGCCTTTCCTCTGAGATGGGATGGACTTTGCTTACGCATCCAGGATTGCTCCCTTGAGGAGCAACCACTCGTCCTGAACTCCTCTCCCCTTTGGGCTGTTGCCCTTTAGGGCCTCAGTGACAAGCCTCCTTAGCTTGTCAAAGTCAGCTTTCCTGAAGTCGAGGACTTCTGTATTACTGACTGACTTGCCAGCTTTACGGCAGATGGTGAAGGTGATCAGCTTGTGGTCATTGTCACCTAGCTTCCCTTCGATCAGTAGGTCACTGATTAGGTCGTCCCCGGTTGCCAGTACCAGGTCGAGCAGCGCTTCACCTCTTGTCGGCCCGCAGACTTCCTGCTTCAGATAGAGATCATCTACGCACGAAAGAAAGGTTTGCGACTGCTCGGATTTGGCTGAGCGCTCCTCTCATGAGATGTCTGGGTAGTTAAAGTCTCCCATGACAACCATACACTGGGAGTGTGTGGTCTCAGCCAATTCTCTGGCAAACTCCTGGTCAAGGCCTTGACCCTGGGTAGGGGGTCTGTAGTAGACTCCCACACCCTGGTATCCCCTGTGCCATGTTCCCCATGGATTTTAACCCAGAGGGTCTCAAGTCTTCCACCATCATAAAATTGATTTTATCTGGTTTGCCAGCAGGTGGCAATCCTGCGGAGCAAGCTCTGGGTGAGGTGTGCTCAGGCCCTGGCCTCTGCTGGCAGGCAGTGGCTTTGGCCTCAGCTGGCACCGCAGGGGATGCTGGGTGGAAGCAGCCTGGCCCATCTGGCCACCTGTGAGATACAGTCTGGCCTGCCCAGGGCCTGTAGGGCCGGACTCCATCTCCCAGGCATTGCAGAGGATGCTAGGCAGAAGCAGCTCCATCTGCCTGCCCAGCACTGTGCAGCACTAGCAGAGAGCAGGGCCCGCTATACAGTGCCAGGTGGGCAGGCAGGGCTGCTTCAGCCCAGTGTCCCACACCTGGGAGATGAAGTCCAACCCTACAGGCCTTGAGCATGTCGTGTTTGGATGCTGGCCTGTGCTGGTGGGTGATGCCCAGGGTCTGTGGATGCCCAGGAGGCACTGGGCAGAAGCAGCTCCACCTGCCTGCCTGGCATCATATGGCATGCCGTAGGCAACCCACATTCTAGCCCGGGTGGCTCTGGCTGCCATGGGGTTCTGGGTGAGGCTGTTTCTGCCCAGTATCCTCCACAGCACCAGCAGAGACCACGTCCAGGAGGGCGGGGGAGCAGGTGGGCTTATGCTCCTGCTGCTGCTCTGGCATTAGCCCTGGCTTGGCTGTGGGAGTGTGCACACACACGTGTGCGTGCGTGCATGTGCGCAGTCCTTAACAGCACACTAAACTCATTAAGTGGCCCTCCAACCCAAACAACTGCCCACTCCTGCTTTTGGATTAGCAAGTACTGGGGATTCCAAGGGAGACGGGCAAAATTGTGTTGTCTAAAGAGAGCATTCTCCATTTTGTTGTACTGATTTATCTAAGAATGGCTCTTTAGTTATGCATTCAGTCAGTGGTGCCCAATCTGTCTGGCCCCATGGGCTGGATGACTGGCACAGAGCTGGCTGGATCAGGCCAGTGTTGGGGTCAGTCTGCAGTCAGACTGACCCCAAAGATTGATCTGGCCTATGTAGCTCCCCAGAGGCATAGCAAGGTTGCCCATGACCAGGACAACCTCAATGCATGGAGTAGCATTGGCTGCAACCATGCTAATGGCAGTGGTGCGATGGTGGTTATTTTTGCACCTTGCCTCTCAAAAAAAGACCCCTCATTCAGTTACTGGGGTTCCCCCTTGGTCTAGAAATTTGGCAGCAGGGAAGTGGTGGCAATGTTAATTGCTACCAGAAATACAGCAATTGATGTTGCCACTGCTCCCCTCAACAAGATTTCTGGATCCATGGGAAGCCCCACAGACCAGATGACTGGTTCAGTGGGCTGGGTCCAGCTCACAGGCAGTAGGTCAAGCACCACTGCACTTTTCTGTTCAAGACTTTCACTGAAGTGCATCTTTTGGTAGCACTGTGTATGCTGGCTGGTTAACTATCCTATGTAATTAAACTATCAGAATAAAATCTGACCCTCATTTTGCAAAATCATATCAGGTAGAATGGAATTATAATCAAAGGAAGCATTAACAGGTTTATTAGTTTGAAACATCAGAACCTTCTGGGCCAAGCTTGGACTAGCATGATAGTTAATGCTGAAACTTGCCCAAGTTTCCTCACAATCCTTGGAATTTATGGGAGCATGAACATCTAGTAATCTACCCAGTAATCTACCTTGTGTCCAGAAGATGAAGATGGCAACCAACAATAAACCTGGACTCAAACTTCCTCTAGAAGACATTAATTTCTTGTTTTAGTCAGCTGCAAATATATCTAATTCTTTGACATCCCCACCTGCAAAAGATGCCTTGCAGGATTTAGTTCTTTACAGTCCACTTGTCCACAGATTAACAGCTGAGTTGATCTTTCAGGACACTGTGCAAGCCCCATAAATACACAGCCACTGATGTAATATGATGTTGAATGTGCCACTTCCACAAACTAACAGCTTCTTTGCAGAAGAAAAATGACCATGCTTTTCTCTGCATAGTGTTAGGGTGACAGTATTTGGATCTTGGGGAGCATTGGATTTGCAGCTGAATAAAAGGCCATCACCTGTGGCCTAGCAAAGCTGCTAACCACAAGGCAGGATGGTATGTTAAAAGTAACAGTGCAAAATGCTTAGGCAAGCATTTCCCTAACAATGTAGTACTGTTGTAAGATATATAGCTCATGGTGTAAAAAGAACAGGAGGCAAACCACCAGCTATTGTTAGGAGATAAAGCAAAAGCAAGACCTTGGAGATGGTGAAGAAATCAGCAAGAAACTGCAAGTGACCAAAAGAAGAAGAGGTCAGAGTCTTAGGCATGCACTCATAACAAAAAGACATGTAAATAAATGAAATGCATAGGTAATTCCATGCTACTGAAGTAAACAGTAAACAGAGGCGGGGTTTAAAATGGGAAGGACTAAGGGTAGAACAAAGGGACAAAGTTGGGGTAAATGTTAATGAGCATAAGCCAAGGTGTATAAGTATGGAAAGAACTAATGTTTGTGGCTGCTCCCTGGTTTTTTTGGAGCTCGCCCGAAACCATCTCCACTTTGAATAAAGCTGTTGACAAGCAATGTGTGCAGGTGATGTGTGATGGCATCGATCTGTTGTCTCCCTAGTTGTTGGGCATCACATGGAGTCGGGGTCTAACACATAGTATTATAAGAACTAATATTTTGTCTGTATCATTTTACCTTCTTTAACTGGTTATCAAAAAAACTCAAGGCACCTATTCAAATTCAGCTATAATGTTCAAAATATCTTCTCTGTTCAGCTTTGTACAATGAATAAACCAACCTGGCTTAATAATACAATACCTGCTGAAACGAATCCTCAAACAAAGTCTTTCTGCTCACTGTAATCTTTATGTGTTGCGGCATAGCCAGTTGCTGAAATGCACAAATATTTCAAACATGAAATACATGTAGTTTTAAATGACTGTTTTAAACAACATTCAAACAAAGTAACTGGAAATTGTAAAAGGGACAAGGTCATCTCACTAGGCTAGAAAAGACAATAAACAGCAGGTCTGGATTTTCAACTTTTTCCTAGGAGCAATTTGCTATTTGTTATTCATGGCTACAGTAAAGCCCACAGGATCTCATATGCCAGTTCTGAACAGGTTCCAGTGACATAACATATTATTACCTCCTGCAAATCAATAATTACTTCTCAATAAGAGAAACACCCTACCCAAATTTTATTAAAAATTGAGAGTTTTGCACCATATTTACATTACATTTATCTTCCTCATAAAATACAAACCACCAAATAATTGATGCAGTATCTCTGCTAGTTCTCAAAGGCTCTTAACTCATTTTATGCTTTGGGCCTAAGAAGTTTTTGATCATATGCTAAAGACCAAGGTATTTTTTTCTCTCAACACATAGGAGGTTTTGAAAATCAAGAAGGTGCATCAGAATGAGACTATACCATCTTGTCCCGTAGTACATGATTGATGTTTCAAAAATAAATCAAAATATATAGACTTTTTTGAAGCTTCTGGACTTTGTACTTTATAGGTATGTTATCACAGATAAAATTGCATCTTACTTATCTTAACTTAAATCCACTATATTAGTCTTTGTATACACTTCTCAGAATTAACAGCAGAAATAAGATAATTTCCCTTGATCAGTTTTGAAAGCTATTACTTGTACAAAACATCAATGACAATGAAGTGCACCTTCGTTTTAAAAAACTTTAAAAAGCAATAAAGAAGTTGTTTAAACCTTATTTTAAAAACTCATGACAATCTGTATTAATTATACATTTAGACTTTATTAGCTTAAATCACTTTAATCCATGTTCTAAGTGCTTCCACTGTCACTATTTGGCTGAAGCTTTACTGAATGCATTCTTAACATTTTTAATGTGAAATATTTTCTTTACCTGACACCAAAATCGGAAATATTGGACCTTTGCCTTGAAGTCACGCACATAGGCTATCTGGGGTCCATTGTCTCTGGAACCAGGAAGAAAAAATAAGCTATGAAAATATTTCTGAAACTCATGATACCACTGCTTGCAAACTCTTACACCTATGCCAGTGCTCAGTAGCCTTTTAAAGCCACAGGGTGGATTGAGTTAGTTTGGGTCAGAGACAGGCAGGCACTGGGACGGGACCCAGCCACTCCTGCCAATTTTCCCCACAGTGGCACAGGGACAGAACCCACAGCCAAGGCTTGCCCCCATGGTGGCAGAAGAAAGTGCCTGCTGCCAAAACCCCTTGCTGCTGAATGCCACTGAAACCTTATGACTGCAAGCCACATAAAATGGTTCACAGGGGTTGTCAACCCCTGATTTATTCTGTCATTTCGTTTATCTGGTTGGCAAAGCAAAACCATTTTCTAACAGGAGGTGTTTGCTTGGAAAAAGCCATGGTTTGCTTTTTAAAGAAAAATTTTTTTAAAAGAAAATTTGTAACTTAAATAAATAAATAAATGAGAGAGGGAGAGGGAGAGGGAGAGAGAACGTTCCTCTTACTGCTTGGCTGGAAGGATTATAAACTTTCTGACATAAATTTGCAAAACATTTTAAGAGCTATTTATTAAAAACCCAGTGTATGTTTTCTTAAAAAAAAAAGAAAAGAACCATAAAACCAAAACAAACCAACCATCCAAACAAGCAAAAACACTTACAAAGCAGACTTTCCAGTGCGGGGATCTATGTATGTTGTAGTTCTTCTATTGTGATCCACAAAATATGGAATGCCATCTACCGTAAATCTCATTTCCCAGCCTTCTGGTAAGGGCTTCTCATTTAACTGACTACAGGGCACAAGAAAATACAAGGTAATCAAGTTAATGCACGCTATTAAAATACCACATGCAAGGACAGCAGAAATTAGGAAGAATGCTAGAAAAGTTCTGGAAGTTTCTAAGAGGAATTTTTGTTTGATTTTTATTCTGTCTGGTTTGAATCTTCCGTTCTAAAGCCAGATACCACTATCAGCACTAGTGTAACTGAGGTAAAGATGGGTAGCACACAAGGTGCTGACTTGTGGGGGGTGAAAAGGGGAAGAGAAAAATAGTCAGTGCTACTGCTGGCTGGCCATACCACTGAAGCCAGCACCAGCACCCAGGAGCTACTCTGCCCCAAGCACTAAACTGTCATTATCTCTCTGATTATAAGGTCAGAGGACTACCTCATCAGTTTTGCAGCTATTTTCTCTCCCCAAATTGAAGAGTTCTGTATGACAGTGAATGAAATTTAGGTTTAAAAAAAAAAATCACTATTAAACAGAATTTGCTACTACTCATTATCATCATCCTCAGAAAGGTGAAAGATATAACAAATCAGAGTCCACATTGAAAAGGCAGACTATGCTGAACTTTGTGAAAATGACCAAGAAATGATAAAAGTAACTTAGAAATAGCAAAATAATACTGTTAAGTTTTATATCCATCCTTCATAAATTTAAGATGGCCTCAGATCATGGGCAAGCAATATCTGGCGCACAGGCCAGATCTAGCCAGCAGTGGACTCCACATTCCAGCAGCCCCTGCCCTATGGCTGGGGCTGGTCTCCATGGAGACCCCAGCCACACCTGCCCTGTGAGAGAGCAAGGCTGGGGTTGCCATGGAGATCGGCCCCAGCCACCCTGGCAGGGTAGTGCTGTGGCTGCTCCAGAGCTACCGGGATCTTGCAGTGGGGGCAGCTTTGCCTGGGGCAGGGCGGAGCTACGATCTGCAGCCTACATGCTCCAGGCAGGGGTGCGCAAGCAGATCGTGGCTCTGTCCTGGCTTGGGACCAGGCTATTACCACTGCAAGAAGCTGGGGCAGAGCCTCAATCTGCTGCTTGCATGCCTCTTCCCAGAGAGCAGCTCTGCCCTGGCCCTGGACCAAGCTGCCTCCGCTGCAAGCTCGGAAGCAGCCCCCTGCCCTGCCAGCACAGCTGCAGCCAGTCTCCATGGCAATCCCAGCCTTGCCCTATCACAGTGAAGGTGGAGCTGCGGTCTCCATGGTCACTGGCTCCAGCCATGTGGGCAGGGGCTGCTGGGAAATGGAGTCTGGCTGCTGGCTGGATCTACAATCCCACCCCCACCAGATACTGCATTTTAAATTGTTCATGTTGTCTCATTTGAAGTCAAGAGGAAGAACTATTAAAGTAAAAAGTCCTTTTATTAATTCCAACCCCCCAAATAAAGTTCATAATGGCCTCTTATTTTTAAAAGATAGGGATTTTTTTCTGTTTCTATCAGTGTTAAACAGTAAAAAGGTGTTGCTGTTAAGCAATGCTCTTGTAACAGCCTGCATGCTTTTTAAGTGAACTTGTCTGAAGAGACTGCAGAGAGCAGTAAGATATAATCCAATCTTTAGTTGTCAGAAATCATAGCATCATAAGAAAGCAGGGCTGGAAGGTACCTCATGAGGTCATCTAGTCCAGCCCCCTGCTCAAGGCAGGATCACCCCCCTAACTAAACCATCCCAAGCCAAGAGTCTGCCTAACCTGATCTTGAAAATTTCAAGGGATGGAGATTCTCTACAACTGGTCTGGGTAGCCTGTTCCAATGCTTATTGATCCTCATAGTCAGAAAATGCTTTCTAGTTCTCAGCCTGGCTAACATAATACTTATAAAAGTATATTAAAGTTTAATGTGAAATTATGTAAATTAAAATTCTTACCCTTGACTTCTGGGATCTTCCCACTGTGTGATACGTGTGTTGTGATTGACAAAATATACCCTGCCATTGTTATCAGTTCTTTTTTCTGAGAAGAAATTAAAATTTGAAATTTTAATATACGTTTAAATTAACCTGAGGCTAAAAGAATCAATCAGCACACCTACTGGCAATGTCTACTTTCTTTAGGGTATACAGCTTGTCTAAAACTTAACATGGCTGAATCTTCACCTTGGTCTCCAAATCATCAGTCCTTGCCAGTTTCTCCACAAGAGTATTCTAGGATATGCAACCTGATAGTGGAAGGTACTGGACTGTATCATAACCTACCTTCAACAAGAGTACTGAAGGTGTTCATCTGATAGAATCCTTAGAACCTAGTCCCTACTCTGAAGAGTTTCTCTATTTTGGATCCGTAGAACATCCAGCACAAGACGACCCTAATTCTGATAAAGAGCTTTGGACAGAGGCATAACACAAAAAAAGCATCCTAAAAATGACAGAATTTATAGCTATTTCTGCCCCTTTATGAAATGCTTTTTTTTCAGCAGGTACCCAAAATAAGGTCTTTGACACGTTATATTTTTGTGATATATATGTTGTTTTAGTGCAACAAAAGTGCATCTACACTTTGACTGCTGCTTTCTGTGCTAAAGAAAGGCACATCCACCACAAAAATGGCAGATCCATGACAAAAAGTTGCTGTTTCAAACAGCAACTTCTTTGTTGTACAAAACTTTTTCACACCAAACTTAACATTGTGCCAAGGGTGAGGGAGGAAGGGAGAGCAGCTGGCAAGTTTTCAGGGTGCCTATCCGAGACATTACAACAGCCATCGTGGCTGCCAGTGCTGGATCTTGCTGGAGCTCTGGTAGTAGCTGTAGGCGTTTAATACACATGCTCCGGGAGTGGGGGGGTGGGGTGAGGGTGGGACATTTTAATTAGAGCAGCTCTAAGAGCTGCTGTAATTAAAAGCACCCAGAATGTCACATGTATCAGCACCCCGCCACCATTTTTCAGCATGGGGATGCTGATACATGTGATGCTGGAGCATGGTGATTACCATGCTCCAACAGGCTCTATTAAGTGAGTATGCTCTGATGCGCTGTAATTAAAGTTCCCCTATGTTACTATGGGAATAAACACCACTATTGCCAGACCCCTACGAAAAGCTAGGGTTCTGACAGGGGCAACAATGCTTTCAGAATCCCCCCCGTGCTGCTTTGTGGTGCTGAGCAGCCCTGATGTACCAGTGCCTTGCCCCTGTCCATGACGTTGCCCCTTACTCCTGACCCACAGGCCCCCCAGCACTGCTGGTACCCCTCACTCCCTACAGCCCTATAGGTGCCCTGCACTCCCAACCCACAGATCCTTGGGCCATCCCAGTGCCCCTCACTCTCAACCCATAGCCCTCATGCCCCAACCCACATTCCACCACCCCCCAGTCCTGCTGGTGTCCCTCACTCTTGACCTGTGGGAGGTGGTGGCTGACACAGCTGGAGTAAAGCACGGAGCCCAGCTCCCCCACCCCTGCGGGCAGCATGGCTAAAGTTGAGCCTGGGAGGGGGGGGAAGGGGAATGGGAGGCAGGCTGCTGGCTGTGGGCTTAGGGGTCCCTGCCCTGCTACCCTCCCCCAGGTGCCTCTGCAGCCCAGCGGGTGGGACCCAGTGCAGCAGGACAGAGTGGGGCAGGGAAGCTTGGTGCTGCTGCCAGTAGCCCTGTGCCTCCATAACCAGGTGATCCCTGCCTGCCCAGCAGCAGTGGAGGGCAAAACTCTATGCCACTGCCGTCACTGTGGCCAGGCAGGCATAGGGTGCCTCATTATGGTGGTGCAGGGCTCCTGGTGGCAGCACTGAGCTTCCCTGCCCTGCTGTGTGGGGTCCTGACTGCTGGGTTGCAGAGACCCCCAGGGAAGGGAAGCAGGGCAGGGAGCCCTGAGTTCACAGCAGACAGTCTGCCTCCAGGTCCACCCTGTGCACAAATCTGGGGGGTATGTGCCCCCTCATGCACTCCCCACCCCGGAAGTGTGCATAGCAGTGGGGATCTGGCCCCCTGTCGGCCCCTGGACTAGCCACTCATGGCTCTGTCACGCTTCCCTCACAGGCCCTGTGGCTGTGCATTCCCACCTCAGGCCCCATGGACTGCTCTGGCTGGGCGGTGCCCCCAGCCCTGCACAACTCCCTCTCTTTCTACAATGTATCCTTCACTCCCCCACTCCCCATCTGACTTGGATAGAGCTGCAGGAGCTGCTCTCCATGCTGCCTGGCTGCCGTGTGCATGCACATGGCACCCCCTGCTTGATTGCCCTCCTCCTGCTCCCCCTAGTCCCAAGCAGCCCCTTGCAGGCTGGAACTCTGCCAGCCTGCAACGGGAAACCCATGGTTTCCAGCATTTTTCTTTTTAAAAGGGGGGGGAACAACAACAACAACAACAACAACAAAAACACATCTTTCTTCTTTAAAAGGGAAAATCTGCACTTTTCCTTAAAAGGAAAAAATCCACATTTTTCCCTGGTGAGCAGAAAACCTGGATCCCTACTTCTTAATCTTTGCTGCTGCAGCTGGCTTGCAGACACCCCATCAGCTATTGTTATGACAGCAAGAGCTGTTTGAGTGAACCTATCCTCCTCACTAACATGAACTCCTAGAGGCAGGGAAAGTTAAGAGACAGTGCTGTATCACTCCCTGGTTGGAGAACATGCTTTGCTGCAGCTTTGTCTCACTCCTACCAGGGGGCTGGCACCTGCGCATACCCCTCAGTGATATATTTTCTGTTGTGCTACAAACTGGAAAACTCCAGATTTGCACTTTTCCAGTTTAGCTTACTTAGACTCAACAGTCTATTGCTCTCAATTTAAAAACCCATACATCTATTTTTTCCTTGCATTCCTTCACGTGATATTATAAATCCCAAACATCTGCGTTATTGTGATGGGTCTTCATACCCAACTGGCTAATGTAAGAGCTGGCAGAGGTCATCACACAGTCCTTGGCCTAGCTGCATGAGCATGCGTGGTCGTCTGGCCAGGTGCCGGGGGATTGGAAACTAGCTAATGTAGTCTCCATTTTTAAGAAAGGGAGGAAGGAGGACCCAAGTAACTATAGGCCTGTAAGCCTCACCATGGTACTCGGGAAGATCTTAGAGAAAATCATCAAGGAGCACATCTGTGGGGGGCCAGCAAGGGAGATCATGCTCAGGGGCAATCAGCATGGGTTCCCCAAAGGCAGGTCCTGCCTGACCAACCTGATTGCCTCTTTATGACCAGGTAACTAAATCCTTGGATGATGGTGTCGCCATGGATGTAGTCTTTCTAGACTCAAAGAAGGCCTTTGACACTGTCTCTCACCCCATTCTCAGTAATAAAATAAGCAACTGTGGCATTGATGCCTACACAGTTGGATGGGTAAAAAACTGGATGATGGGGCACACCCCGAGGGTAGCGGTGGATGGGCTGTACTCAACCTAGTGAGATGTGAGCAGTGGGGTCCCGCAGGGCTCAGTCCTTGGGCCTGCCCTGTTTAACATCTTCATAAGTGACCTGGATGAGGGCGTTGAAAGCACATTGTCCAAGTTTGCTGATGACACTAAGATGTGGGGCGTGGTGGGCACACTTGAAGGGAGAGAGAGGCTGCAACTAGATTTAGACAGACTACAAAAGTGGGCAGATGAGAATAGGATGGGGTTCAACATGGACAAATGCAGGGTGCTGCACCTTGGGAGAAGGAATCCACAGCATACATACAGGCTGGGGAGTTCTCCTCTTGAAAGCACAGAGGTAGAAAGGGATCTTGGAGTCATTATTGACTCCAAGATGAACATGAGCCGCCAATGCCAGACCGCAGCCAGCAAGGCCAGCCATACTTTGTCATACATCCAAAGATGCATCTCAAGCTGGTCCAGAGAGGTGATACTCCCCCTCTATGTGACACTGGTCAGGCCACAA